CCACACAGCAGAACAGCACATGCAACAGCCCTAAGAAGAGGAAGTCTAGTTAGATGAGAGATGCAGGAAGGCTGGTGTGCGTGGAGCAGAGCTGAAGGCAAGGTGGGGGAACTGAATGAGAGGTGAGGGGCTTTGAAGGCCACAGGAGGACACAGATTTCAAGTGCAATGTCAAGTGCAAGGGAGATTCTGAGCAGGTGAGGGATGCTGTGGGGAATGGACCACAACAGGAGGGAGCAGAAGTGGGAGCTTACCAAGGATATTCCATTATCCACTCTAGTGAAGGTGGGTGTTCTGAGGGGGACTTGCAGAAGGAAGAGAAAAGACAGATTTTGGAAATGGGAACAACAGAACTTATTGTTGTGCTCGATGGGGGAGAACATAAGGAAGAGTCAAAGCACTAACTGTAAAATAGCTGTTTTAGGAGTAGGACGGAAATCCGCCTCCTGCAGCTGTCAGACACTGCCACCCTGTCTATGGGAACCTGTGAAAGAAGCCCCTTGTCACCCTCAAGTGTTTGAAGGTAACTACTATGCTCCTCCTCAGGTTTCTTCTTTGTCTAAACAGCTCAAATATTTTCAATATGACTTGAATGAGGTGGTTCAGACCCCTGTAACATGAATAGTCACTTCTAAATGCATTTATTTGGGGTCTGTGTTTGCCCATGAACAGAATTCCTCAAAACCCCCAAACCAGGAGGTCTGATTATCTCAAAGCACACTGGCTTTCACCTTTATCCCAGGTACCAGCTTTCTCTGACTTTTGTTTTGACGGTGACTTCATAATGTCCCTCACCAGCTGATAAGGGAGACAATTCTGTATTTATGATGACACACACTGAGATAAGATGAAAACTATGAGAAATGTACTAGTGGTCACACCACACAAGAGAGAGGTCATTTATGGATGTGAGAATCAAGCATGGCCTTTACAGAGGAAATTAAGTAAGTTTGACTCATAAAAGATGCTGAGAGGCAGCAATGTTGGAAACGGAATAGAAAGAATTAAGTGTAAACAATGTGTGAGCCACAGTAGCTCGGTCTGCTGTCACACAGGGCAGGTGTGGGAACCTGTGAGCAAGGAGGACAGGAAGAGAACTTGACTGAGTAGTGGAGACCACAGATGCTTCAAGGAAGAATCCATTCTGATATTCAGAGTATTACACAAAGGGTGCTACTTAATGTTGGGGCCTTTGTGTTGATGATTTGCAATCAATAAGAGAATGTCACTTCAGGAAGATTATTCTGGTAGGAGGTTTATTTAAGTGAGGAGAGAAGGAAACAGATTTTCTGCAGTGTTTCAAGAAAACAGCAATGAGGGGCTAAACAAATCCTCCACAGAGGGACAGGAAGGGAGAGGCAGGTACAGAGAGGGGACAGTTGTTGTAGAGCACTGGTGCAGATGGAAGGGATAGGCATGGAAAAGGAAGAAAGACAGAACTGAGAGTTTCTATCAAGAACATGTCTCTTCCAACCTCATCTGGATTGAAGACCTAGATATAATTATTTTTTAGACTACTTACCACATGTGTTTATGCATACAAAAAGGAACTGATAATTCATAAGGCCTGGGCCAGTATAGAAAATGAGGGTTTTTTGGCAGCACTGGGGTTTGAACTCAGGGCTTCATGCTTGCTAGGCAGGTGCTCTACCACTTGAGCCACTCTGCCAACCCAGAAAATGAAATCTTATGACTTAGAAATTGAAGATATATTTAGACTAATAAAGTTTCAGAGACCTTTTTAAACCAAAGCTCTGCTATCCTACTATGCAAGAACTGGTTCAGCCACACATTGCACACATCCACGTCAGAATTTGGGTGGCAGTCACAACACAGAATCTCATGGGTGGTTCAAAGTTCTTGTCTCTCAATTGCAGAAAATAACAGTTTCATTATGACATTTCCTTCAGATATACACCAAGGAATGGTACTTCTGAACCACACAGTAGTTCTGCTGCTGGGTTTTTGAGGAGCCTTCACACTCACTTCCTTAGTGACTGCACTAATTTACTTTCTCACCAACAGTGATGAGGGTTCCTTGTCCTCACCAGTATTTGTTGTTTGTTTCATTGATAACTGCCATTCTGACTGGGAGAGGTGGACTCACCATATAGTTTTAATTTGCATTCCTTTATGACTAAGGATGTTAAAACTCTTTTCATATATTTCTTGGCCATTTGCACATCGTCTTTTGAGAAATGTTAGCTCAATATAGAAGACTAAACTAGATCCCTGTCTAATCTTGTACAAAAATCAATATAAATGGATCAAAGTTCTTGATGTAAGTCCTAAAACTCTGAAACTACTACAGGAAAACATAAGGAAAGCTCTTTGGGTTATAGACCTAGGCAACAACTTTATAAGTGGGACTCCAATAGCTCAGGAAGAATGAGCAAGAATTGACAAACAGGATTGAATCAAATTAAAAAGCTTCTGCACAGCAAAGGAAATAATTGCCAGAGTGAAGAGACAGCCTACAACATGTCAAAAATCTTTGCCAGCTGTTCATCTGACTAAGGGTTAATATCCAGAATATTAAAAAACTCAAACAATTAGCTAGGCATGGTGGTACACATCTGTAACCCTTCCTACTTGGGAGGTAGAGTTAGGAGGATAGTGAGTTTGGCCAGCCCTGGCAAAGTTACTGAGACCTTACCTCAAAACCCAAAAAGACAAATGAAAAGGCAGGAGGCATGGCTCAAGTGAAAGAGCCATGTATGTGGCTCTGGGTTCCACCCCCAATATAGCAAAAACAAACAAATGAAAAGCCACCAAATAATCCACTCAGTCAAAGGACAAGTAAATCATCTCTGAATTTTTAAGTGCTATAAACAATACACACTTTAGGCTCAGTGTAGAGCTACTGGCACCATCCCCCATCGCATTTGCTGAGCACTGAGGGAGAAGAAACCAGTCGAAAAGGAGGAGAAAGAAGGGGAAACTGCTGTAAAATGTAAAATATGGAAATATACCTTGGCAGCAAAGGCAATGTATACTATATAAAATTTAATACCATCATATTTATTTGCTCTTTCTTTGGATTGTATCTTTTAATGGTTTATATAACAAACCCTCATTTATTCCAAATGGAAAAAAAGTACTGCTTTTTTTGTTATAACTTCAAAAGTAATGTAATAGTAAAAACTCAGAAATTATGTAAAAGCCTGAAACTGGCTCACCTATTATTCCACCACTCAGAGATAACCAATATTAGTATTTTATTTAAATAGCTCTGGGTGCATCTTTTTAAATGCTACATCTTTGTAAATAAAAATTAGGTTCTCTTGTGTGTCCTTCCTTCCTTTTGATATAATATGTATTATGGCCTCTTCCCACATCTCTTCTCTTCCTGAATTATTCAGTTCTCAAAACTCTAGGAGTTGAGCAAAGTGCCAGCATCAGGAAAAAGTATAAAAATGAGCTGTGATGACCCAGAGCATCACAGCCCAAGATGGAGTCTGTGTAGGAGGGCTGCCCAGGGAAGACAACAGAACTTGAGAGGGTGGGTAAGGCGTCCCACAGAGGATGGCCTGGCTCATATATTCTTGCAAAAGACTGACCCAGGACAGTCAGAGCTGAGCAGGATGAAGAAGCTGTGCCCAGAGCAGCAGCCTGACCTCCATGCTGGAACCAAGAAGAGGCGAGAAGGAAGCCTCCACAGGCCAAGGAAAAGAGAACAGCATCCTTGTGGGGTGTTCTGGCCCAGGGGGACTGTGTGTACAAAGCAGGATTCCAGGTGTGGAAGCACTAAAGCTATTTATTAGCTTATTTGAAGAGAGCCAGTATTCTTATCAATTGAATTTCACAACCCAGAAATTGTACACCTTTCTATTTTAAAATTTTATATACTGAACATATTTCAATTTTATTATCTAATATTCCTTGCTTACTCTTAAGTAATTAATATTTGCATTGATAATTATGACTTATATCCTTCCCCCTTTTATTCTTTGTTTTGGTATACAGAAAATCCATCAAGGAATCTTATTCATAATTGATTACCTAGGTGAATTACATTAGTAGTCAATAAGTTTGAGTAATTTTCAATTCATCTTCCTGCACTGTAACTGCTTTTGAATCCATTAATTTAAATAGTGCTGTCATTAAATGCTGTCAGTACAAAATCTCTTAAGTCATATTGCAGGATGGGTGGAAAAACTAAAAATATAATAAAATGGTCATGAATTAGTTAAAGCATTTATCCCTCCATCAAGTAGTTACTGGACACATACTATAACCCTGGCCAAGTTACATAGCCTAGATAATTTTGTTTTCTCAACTATAAAATGTAAATAACCAAAAAAATCTACCTAAGGATTTGATGCTACAATGCATTGCTTAGCTTCGCACATACTGAGTACCCAATAAACACTGACGTGACGATGACACTGAAATACCCCATAAACCACTCTTCCCAACTCCCAGAGCCACGAGATGATCACGCTTGTCTTCATTTTTCTTTTTACTGTTTAGTCTAGCCAAGTCTGTATTTATTCTCCCTCATCAATTCATTAACCATCAATTAACCTACACACATATACACACAGGACTATGAGAAACACTTCTACCTTACAATCCATTACCTCCCATTCATTTGCAATTTCTGAAGGCCCTCAATAAATACTGCTACAGTTCAAACAAAACTGGAACACTATAGAGCACTCAAAAAGTCCTACAGCCATAAAGGTATTAATAGGTCAGGCCACTTATAAACAAGACGGTCCCACAATGAGTGTGAGACAACAATAAGCTACACCATGTTTGTAGAATCACACTGAGCCACATCTATGTGTGTGCACAGTACTGCATTTAAGTTTAGAAACATGAATACATTCTCTCTGTATAACTCTGCAGTATTCAGAACTGCTTGCTGATCACTGCTCTCCAAGTTTGCAAGAACACCTGTTTTCTTACTACATTATAGACGGAAAGTCCCATTACCCAGAGCCCAGTCTCATCAAGAGACAGACGGCCAGGTCAAGCAGGACACCACGTGCTTACCCACTTCTGCCAAGGTTCTGATACAAGACTCCACTGAGGCCTTCTGTGCGGGGTTCGGCCAGGTGCAGTTGTAAATTCTGAAGGCAGACTGCAGCAGCTGGATGAAAACTGGCTGATGTGTCTAAAAACAAAGGAAACAGGCAAATAGCAATGTAGAACACTAGCGTGACTAATGTGGGTCTGCACAGTACCAGAAAGGGACATCAAAACACAATAGACCTTCACATTTCAGAGTGTTCATAAATACCTCCTCAGGGAACATTTATGATGGGCTCCCTTCATCATCAGCACAGGACAGTCACTACAGAAAATCAATTATTTGCCTTTTAGCTATAGTCTTAATCAGAAAATATGCTATTTTCTGAAGTCAATGACCTTACTTTTTATAATCCCTTATTTACCACCAACTGCAAATAGAGCAGGTGCTACTGCTTTGGTTTGTTTGTTTGGTTTTACATGATACACAAGTAGAGAGGGCAGATATTTTGAACTACAAAACCCACTTCATGTTCCTATCTATCAGTTTAACTACTCCATGAAGGAGGTATAACTGAAGTGATATTTTGTAAAATTAATCTATAATCACTCTGGAAGAGTTGGGAACCACAGAAATAAATCAATAATCCTTTGATGTGGGATTGGTTCAGTATGGATGTAATTCTGTATTGAATATTTTTGATCCAAGGTTGGTTGGATTTTCAGATGCAAAGCTAGTGGATGCAGAGGATCAGCTATATTTAATTCCTAAATTTCTCTCTGTATAGAAGCATATGTATCTTTACACAAATCTGGATAATAACATAATGCAATTCAGTGGTTAATATTACTTAATAATCACTGTCCTCAGTCATCAATCTTTCCTTTTAAAAGATGATTTTTATTTTTTTCTTTTATTCATATGTGCATACAATGTTTGGGTCATTTCTTACCCCCTTTCCCCCACCCTCTCCCTTTCCCCCCCTACCCCCCTCGCTACCAGGCAGAAACTATTTTGCCCTCATCTCTGATTTTGTTGAAGAGAGAATATAAGCAATAATAGGAAGGAACAAGGTTTCTGCTAGTTGAGACAAGGATAGCTATATAGGGAGTTGACTTGCATTGCTTTCCTGTACATGTGTTACCTTCTAAATTAATTCTTCTCGAACTAACCTTTTCTCTAGTTCCTGGTCCCCTTCTCCTAT